AGCGAGCACGACCCGCCCCGCACAGTCTGCGTACGCCCCCGCAGCCAGGCTGCGAACCACTCGCGCCGCACACCGTACCACTCCATCTCCTCCATCAGAGGAGCTTAGCCCAGGCAGTTTAGATGGGGTAGTCGGATAGGCACTACCACCGGACGGCGCAGGCCGTACATCTAACGCCAGACAGATGGTGCGAGGGAATGGCTCGCGTGCTCTGGGTACCAATGAGACAGGGAAGATATAATGGGCGGGGTGAGACGAGGAAGCCAATGCAGAGGCGAATAGCATGCTACGTCGTTGTCTATGGTTGGGCTTATCGGCCTTCTTGGTTCCAGAATTATGTCCGGCAGGTTTCAAAGGAAACGAATCAGCACCCTCCGAGATTCTTCTCCAAAAGTACGAAAAGTAAAGGGAAAATAACATGATTGATTAAGTAGAGTGCCGCAAAACATTTACAGTAACACCACCCATCACTTTCTCTTATTCGCAAATGGAAGTTTCCAATAAAGTTAAACTAAAAGTTTCTCAGTTTTCCCTCCGCTTGCGCTAAATCAAGATGGACAAGTTGTAATGCACATAGCAAAGCATCTCTCGTAGATTTTACTCCGAAAACAAAGTGAGATCCTAGTTTCTTTTGGTCAAGAAATAAGAAAACGGCTTGGACGAAAATGCAACTTATGTGCCGAGCTGTGTGCCCTAAATCTCTCCAAGAATTACGACGGTCAAGGAGTTTGAAGTTTTCATGAAGCAGCCGCACATTTTATCAGAGACAGTGACCTTCCACTAACAATGACAACTCCAGACGCTCTTAACATGAAACATTGGGTGGAAACCAAACCATTGTCTCACAGCAGAAGCCACCATTTTCTTACAGCAAAAGACAATGATTAAAAAAGATGAATGCGCAGAGCACGGACTCATGAATAATGTTAACGACCCAACACGAAGCATCACGATCAAAGAGATCACGATGAAAGCTTTCTGGGAACTCGGGGGAATCACCAGCCTCCGTGGCAGATAACATGGCAAACTAAACACGCAATAAAAGGCGGGAGGATCCCCGTCAGCGGGAAATTGGCTGGATGTGACAGTCGACATACCGAGAAAGACGGGAATGTGGGGTGACCAGCCAAAGAATTTGGCACTAGCCTGTGTGACTAGCCAGCGAACAGTGGAACTTGCATTACTTTGTCAGTTTAGGCTGCTCCCCAAACTCACAGAGAACGCATCTAGCCTGCATTGACTTGTCCGATTGGCTCCTCTGATTGTTATTTACGTACATTTACGTACTGAGGCTTTGAAGCACGCCCACCGCTGAGATCAATTTGTGCCCGGCTATTTGATCACTTTCCAAAATACTAGGCGCAGCAGTCTATCTCACCACGATCGACCATCGAAATCATCCTGATCACCCAATTCACCCACCAACCCACTACTACTGATAGCTCAATAACACTCACTGGACCAATCTCGTTCCACCTGCTTCGCAAGCTCACACACAGTCACGTGACCTCGTTTCAGCCACTTTACACGTCCACCTGATCGGTCACGTGACCACATCCGGCCGCCACTGATCTAGCACGTACCATACCGTAAGTCAGGCGGCTCTCCCGGTCACACCCGAACCAAGCTAACGCCCGAATAGCTCGAACCCCTCCCCATCCCCCTGGCACGTGCCTCTGTGGCTCAAAGGACGGCTCAGCCCTAGCGATGCTGGGCATGTATCGATAGAATGTGGTCCGAATTTCAGCCTGTGATGCTGCTTTAGGTGGGTTAAAGACTGACTGAGACTTCAGAGCATTCTTTGAAGGAGTGACCCTGAATTTCTCAGGGTCTCATCTGCACTTATCGACTTAGATGGTATGTCGAAAATGAAGGGCTGCTCTGCTGAGTTCTGACTGATCACTCAAATTTCAAATGCGCTCCGTCCATGTAAGGCAGCAGAGGCCTTATCCATCACTTCAATTGAACAAAGGCATTATCCCCGGATCCTGACCCCTGCCGTCGCTGTCTGCTCCCTACAGTTCAGTAAGGCAGCACACCCCTCCATAGCACCCAGTCCTCTTGACGTGCTCCTCTTTCCAGTTTCCACACCCCTTCTCTAGGATCCCTCCCTCTGGGTCCTTCCCCCCCCCCCTCTCTCTCTCTCTCTCTCTCTCTCTCTCTCTCTCTCTCTCTCTCTCTCTCCCTCCCTCCCTCCCCCGTACTGATAACCAGCCACCTGTCAGCTAACGAAAAGCCAGTAGCCACGCACCGACCTAGTACTCCGACCAGCGTGGTTTGGCCAAAGTACAAAGGTCACCCCCCCCCCCTGTTTGCATGATACGCAAGTGGTGAGTACTGCTACCCCTCCCCCCTCCATGTGCCGCCCGTGGTCAGCTGGCCACCCCGTCGCTCTATCCTCCCTCCCCGCTCTACCCTTGGCAGGACTGGCCTACTGCCAGGGGCGTTATCAGTGCTGCGGTCAGCCGGCGCAATGAATGGGAAACGCTAGAGAGGACCTCGGCGAGGCTAGAGCTGGGGTTGGAGCTGGCAGCTGCTTGGAGTGGCCACTGATTGGTTGTCCTCTCTACACTCTCTCCCCTTGCCTCCTCTGCTCTCTCCATTCAGTCAGGCAGCGCAGAGGAAATGGAAGAGATTCAACGGAACTCTAACAGAAGGAGTAGCGAAAAACCGGTAAAGTGTCCCCAGATATTTCATTCAAATCTTCTCGTTTATAAGCAGACAGCGACAGACACCTAATTCACCGAGCTTTCGAAGACATGGGATACTGAATGTGAATGGCAGCTAGACAACAAACAAAAGTGAAGGGAACAAACGATAACCAATCACACGCCAAGAAACAAACGACAAACAGCCATGGGTGGAACGTTTTTCGGCAACAAACAGCCACGAAAAAAAACTCCCCAAACAAACATTCAGAGACGGAAAGAACTCCAACAGAAAAATCCAGTTGCAGGAAAATCCTCGACAGCAAATTCCAGCCCATGGAAGTCTCAATTTACTCGAGCACCACTCAATTCGTGCTGAGTACACCGCTTCCATTTCATGATTGCTTTTCTCCCCTGGGGAAGCTCTCTAAGTGACACCACCGGGTTACCGACCCCGTCACATCCTCGCCAATATCCATATGAGTACCTCACTAAGCTTTTGCGCACCCAGTGGGTTGGTGGAAGTTCGTGCGAGCTGACGAAATCCCTGGGGATGGGAGGGGGGGGGGAATTGTCGCGACGGGCAGTGGGCCCGGAAAGGGTAGCAGAGGACAGGGGAGCCTGTCAGACTGGAGGGGATATGTCGGAAGAAGGGGAGGTGCGTTGGAGGCCCGGTTAGGGAAAGGTGTCTCGGGGGCATCCGCGGCGAACATCAAGCTCAGCTCAACCGAAAGGAGCTTAAGCGGAAAAAGAGCTCAGGAGGGGGAAGGGGCGAGATAGGAATGAAGCGGGGATCAACTAGAGATCATTGAGGGGCAGGGAAACGACAGTGACAATGCTTGAGGCGCCCAGAAGGCCGGCGTAGGCGTTGGTGTTGAAGAGGGCAGGAATGACGGTTGTTGAGCAGCCCGCGGGTGTTGTCAGGGGTTTGGGCAGAGACAGGTTGTGTCAGGCGCGGATACAAGGGGGGGGCCATGGGGGCCATGGCCCCCCCCCCCTTGGCCGATTTTTTCAAAAATAAAATAAAAAGTTAAAAAGCTGAAAAGGGGGCCTCCTGAAAATAAAGTGGCTATTCATGTTGAGATGTTGCCTGAACAGCTAGATAAGCTCAATAGACGCAGTTTTTTTTGGGGGGGGGGGCCAACAAGTGGGAAGATGGGGCCTCCAACAGGTGGGATTATGGGGGCCTCCTGGTTTCTAATGGCCCCTCCCTTGGAGATTTTCTGGATCCGCCCCTGGGTTGTGTTGGCGGGGAGGTGGAGAGAGCGGCAGGCAACAATGAAACCTCGCCGAAATGGTTGGCACGCTCAACCACCCCTCCCCTCCTCTCCTTCCCACTCTGCCAAAACTGTGAGCGGACAGCTGTTAACACGAAGGTGAGAGGCCAATGAACACCACACAAAGGATAGCAACAGGGCTGATTTGGAGCGAGGCGAGTCGCTGCCACCCCCGAGGGAAATGGGGATTAATTCAGCCAGGCTGGGCTGCAATTACGACGGAGCGGGGGTTCAGGAGAAACAAAGGAACCGACTCACTGGAAGACACAGTGGTGTAATTTATACAGGCTGTTACCGTGTGTTACATGGTAGAATGTGTGTCGCATGAGAAGACATCGCACTCGATTTACAAAGGCAGGCTAAACATGTTTTTAAGTAGTCGGGTGTTCTTGTTGCGAGGTAGACAACACAGGATTTAATAAATAATTAACCTAAGACGCACCAGGCCAGCAGAAAAGTGCAAACTGCGGCTATGATGTGCCTACAGTGAGCAGCAAAAGCTCTTCACACCACTGACCCTGCTCCCACTGCAGCACCTCAATAGCGAGCTTCAACAGCCTCTATTGAAGCCAATGTCGTCCCCTTACCGCCTGGCTCGAGGCAGGGTGCGTCACCTCCCCTCCCCCTCCCCACCCCCTCCCCCGCCGAGCGGCCTCTGCCTGCCTGGGAGGTGGTCCGGCCCTCTCCCCCTCCCCAGACAAACAGTCCCCCAAACACGACGGTAGTGGGCTGGGATGACCTACCTTTGGAATAGCATGGCTCAGTTCCACCCCGAGACAAAACTAGATCACAACAAAAGGAAGATTCGAACAGGCCGAACTCGGGACCAAACCTCAAGTGAGAATCGAACCAGACCAAATCAGACTGGACCACTGGTATCAAAGACCGCACCAGACCACACGTGTCGTGGATCAAACAACAGTGGACCAGAGCTCAGCTTGGTCTAAGATATCAACGTCTGATGGCTTTCCGGCCGAGACAGGACGAATAATCCCTGGGTAAGAACTAAGAAATAAGACGATTAAGTTCCACTCGCTTCTCACTCAGATCTCGTTCCCAATCCACCCTAACTTACCTTGTCCACTGAGGTCGCTTATCCTTCAGCCACTGATACTGTCACATCACATCCCCGGGACGAACTGGCAACTGATCAACCAACTTCCAACAAGCTTTCCTCTCGCTCCTCTTGCCACCCGCCTGTCTTTGAATCTCAGACAGTCAAAACACATCAAATCCAAACTCTTCCCACCACACTCATCTTTCTGCTCGCCCACCACCACCGACCGCGGCCCGATTCCGCCTGAGGCGATAGCCGCGGGCCGCCGCCGCCGACGACGACCGAGCCGGCGGTGCCGTCAGCTGATCGATGGAGACGACGCAGGGGCGGCGCCAGGCATCGGAAATCGGGGTTCGAGGGGCGGGAAGAAAGTACAAACAGGGAAGTGGTGTGATTTAGTGTAATATAGAAAATAGTTTTGGTATGTGTGTAAAATTAAAGTCTATGCGAAAGGGTTTCGGGAATGAGCTACACGCAAAAAGGCCGGGTTGCATGCCGATGATTTAGATCAAGGGCGGAGGGGGAGGGGAAGCGACGGAGACGGACAGGACTCGGTCAGGGTATGCAGATGAGAATCAGATGAGGTGTAAAGATCGACAGGCAGATGGAGGTTGGCAGAGAACAGGAATCACACGAGATAGAGGAGGAGGAGGCAGGGAAGGGGAAGTGGAGGGAGAAGGCGAGGGAAAGTGAGAGGAGGGAAGGTAAGGAGGGAGGACGAGAGGGAAGGGAGGGAGAGGAAGAGAGGGACAGAGATACTGTAAGAACAATGTTGGATGAGGGCCTTTAAGAAAACAGAAAGGCATCCGAAGATGAAGACGGCACGTGACAACTCAATAGAAATGAGCAGCATTTTCCCCGAAGCCAAATACAGGCACCCTGACCAGCTATGAGTTCCAGTGCCAGGAATCCCATCTCCCAAGGGAGCCACATTGTCAGTGTTTTATAATCTACCAGCGTCATCCCCCAGACCAGAGGCAACTCTGCATCGAAAAGTGATTCACCAGAGCGGGTAAACGAGATACTGACACGAAGGAAGGGGGAGATGGAACAGAGAAACCATACATCCGTTAGTCAGGGGGTCAGGCGAAGATGCGAGACGGCTTGGGAGACGAAGCCGATCACAATTGCCGCAGACGCTATGTCCCTTGAGGACGCTCCGTAAAGAATATAAGCACTAATCACCATACAGATTTGATACCGTCGTTGATCAAGAGATGATCCTTGGATTCCCATAAAATGAATATCAGAATATTAACAGGAAGACAAGAAGGTTGATTAAGCCGGCTTTGAACAGGGTGCACCGCACTCAATACCCACTGTACCCATCAAATAAACAGGCGATAATCAGGCATGTCATTACCTCAGCAGTCCCAAGACGAGCCCAATATTCCCAGCTGATTCAGCCCGAAAACCCAGACCACCACCCCACCCCGTGGGGGCCCGTTGGGGAGATCTGATGACGTCACCACAGCCGGGGCGGGATTTGGCATCTGGCCAGGACCCCCCCCCCCCCCCCCGCCTCCCCCCAGGAACGCCCACCCGGCCCTCATCCCGTGGTGGTGAGCACAAAATGAGATGATTAACATTGCCCAGCTGTCGGCCAGCCGTGCAGACGAAACACGACACAAACAAGCCGACAATAAGGGTCACGTGCCGCAGCGCCAGCATTAGATTCACGCCATTAGGGACAGTGGCAGTAAAGGCCAAAAACCACGGCACTGGTATGTCCGATGCTCCAGTAGGACACCAACCAAAATACCGAGCGTGGTCAGAAGGAAGAGAACAGCCCACAAAGACAAAAAAGGACTCCAGCTTGATCCAGAGAGATACCGAAAGGCTGCACTTACTAACTCAGCGCAAGACATCAGTGCAAGGTCTCTAGTTCGGTTCCGACTCCGGAATTCAAGACATCTGAACCCGCTTGGGGTGCATGGTCGAATCCAGTTCGGAATTCGACTTGGTTGATCTCAGTGGGTACAGCGGCGGGCCAGATCAATCTCGTGCTAGTCTTCACCCCCTGGGTACGAGGACTGGTGGACCCAGGTAGGCCAGGTATGTTCCCTGTATCGGACACCGGAAATCGGGCGCATCGGCCGACACGGCTGTAAGCTCCAGAACGCCATTGATGCGATCCTGCCGTGCTGCTCCCTACTGCTGTTAGAACTAAGCACAATCACGAAACCATGATTCCCTTCCCTAGGGATTGGGAAGAATATGGAGAGGGAGTCACAAGTGACACACTGAACAGTGATCAACCCCTTGACTGAGTGAACTCGCAGAGACCCAGATGCAAACGATCGAGGTTTTTCCACGGGACTCTCACTCACCCCCTCTTAGTCCATCCGTGGTCAAGCAAGTCCTTTCGCCCGACAACACCGAAGAACGACTGACACTGAGTACGAGCTCCACAATGGCTAAAATACACAGGGCACCAAAGCCCTCTAGCAGGCTGTGTCGAGACGGGGTAAAGCCAAAACAGGAGACTAACTGAACAGGAGACCACCAGGCAACACCTCACAGATCACTGGTACCGGGGGGCAACGCCCTCCAGCGCGATGTTACCAAGCCTACCTGGCATGACTCCAGCCACCCGCACGCTGGAGGCGGGGGAGGGGATGGTCCGCGCGCACACGGTGTGTTTACACCGGCAAGATCAGAGCGGGCGAATTTACACCGGTGGAATTTTAGAGCGAACGGATTTACACCGGGAAAGCCGTGTAAATACTCCGGGAGGATTTACATATATGGCAATACCATGATGGTATTGGTAGGGATTATAACTGATGGATAAGTACCTACATTGATATTTCTGTGACTCAAATCAGAGCTGAGAGAATATTACCAAGCTTAGATGGTACCTGACAAAGCTTTGTGTTCTGATCCAAATCAGTGGGTGTGCCATATGTGGGGTTGGGTGAGAGGAGTAGCAAAGGAATCTTGGGTGGGAGGAGTTAGCAGTTTCATACCATTGGCAAGAAGAGCAAATCCCTCCACAATGACGCATGCTCATAAAATGGGTAAAAACAGCAGCTTTCCTGGTTTTGATGGCATGTCACTTGTAGCAAACCATAGAGAGCTAGCTGACCAGCAGTAGCCATTGGTGTGCACTTTTCAATGACTGTAAGACAAGAACTCACCTTTAGTTTAGACTTGGGAAGACTGGCTGCATGTTGACAGGTGGCAAGATTCACCTAGCCTGCTGCTAGCTCCTTCATTTTGCATGGTCTCTGGAAATGAAGTCATTTATCAACACATCAGTGAATTATTTCACCAGAGAATGAAGCAAAGGATGTGTTACAAGACATTCAGACCATGCAGTGACCCAGGGAGGGGGGGGGGGGGTCAGTAAGCACAGAGAGATACCATCAGCATCAGCCCATACCTTGGGTGTAAGAACAAAGATCACAAAATTAGGGATGACACCAAAGAATAATAAGTTAGGAAAGGATAAACAGACCAGTACAGTTAGATCAAAAGATCTTGATCTTAGCAGAGGGGCCTGGCCATGCTCATATTTTGCATTTTCACAGCTCAACATTCAACTGATTGCTGAACTGTCTGGGCCTCTGGCTTATGAACTAATGGTCCGTTGGTACGGAATCACCTGTTTCATCATCACCTTGTCTCCCATATATTACTTATTGAACCTATTTTAAGCCAAATAGGTGACCAAACTGCATGCATTGCATGCTAATTAAGAGGTGCCACAGTTTTTCCCCTAACAATAACTTCAACTCATCAAAGATTGAGCAGACTTCATGGCATATCTCTCTGCCATGTAGCGTGTGAGCATAAAACACATCTTCATCATTATTATGCCTTGCACATGCCTCAGTGTGAGTGTGCCATCTAAGAAATGGCAAGAAAGTGGTCAAAAACAATCATGATTGTTGGAAACATAGAGTTGGAAGATTAAAAAATGATCTTACTGGAAATCAGAGAACGGAACATAGCAAAATATGACGAAGATAAATGATTGCTGGTCCTGGAACTAATATCATCACACACAAACAAACAGCGTGCAACAATATATGCATGCAAAGAAAAAAAAACAACCTACCTATTCATTCTACGACACGAGTTACCAAACAATAACTTTTAGATTTGTTTAGTAGGCGTAGAATTTACGGATGGTTGGTGAACAGGAAAAAGTCGGTGTCTAAAGAGACTTTTAAAAAATATCGCATTGTTGAAAAAAATCGCCGCCAAACAAATCCTTAGCCTTTTTGAAAAACGTCTCATGAAAGTGCTGGTCTTTGATTTTATTATCAAAGATAAATGCGTACATAGATAATAGACAAGATATATAGATAATAGCAAAGATATTTATTCATTTCTACGCGCTTTGGTTCTATATTTCTCAAGGTTATTGGAATTTTCAGTATAATTCTCAGAATTTATTTCAGCAAACCTTGATTTCAATTTCTTTCACATCAAATTTTATTTGGATTGATAACATTTGACGTCACAAATTTCCTTACCCATCATAAAAAAACATCCATAAAGCTTTGAATTCCTTTCGGCAATTTCTGGCGAAAAAAAGAGTAATTCATCTATTTCAGTCCTCTATACATTCTCCGGATAAAATATCCTTCTTTCGAAAAAATATCCAATTCACATGCTAAATATAAAGCTGTTATTTGTTTTAGAACTGCAATTGTTTTTGTTATTGAAATGTTCGGACAAAAAAAGGCGAGTGCAGATATTTTTTGACTGAGCATTTTTACTTTTTTAGCGCCACCATTTTGCAAAAAAAGTCATTTATGACTTGTTGAATGCGCAATAACAGTGAACGGTTTTTCAGCATTCTTATTGGTGTAAATATGTGACGTCATAGGAACAAATAAACGTCGGTGTCAGCAACAGAAATCCCTTGATCACAGCTGACTCCCCGCGCGCCCCGGCTCCACGGCACGGAATTTCTGGATTTCTCATTCAATTCTGTGTTATATAGGCACACGCAGTTTACGTGTGTATTTGTCGCATTAAGTTGGTGAGATGTTTTATAAGGGATGCTCACACCTACAAGAGGCGATGGCCAAAGGTGATGTCCTTCGGGACTACCAGTTGATAAATTCATGGTTTGTCAACTGTGTCAGCGCGGAGGCTCGACTGAAAAAGGTAGGTATTTGCTGATGGTATTGCTCTTTTGGTGGTCTTTCACCCTTACAATTTACTAGAGGAAAACGCGAATGTAATTAAACCTAAAAAAAAATTGAACCTGACCATGAGATTCTATAGATTTTCAGTGCAAAAGCCCATGGCATAAGCCATAACCTGCACATTTCAATTTCATTCCTGTAATAGCATCTAGTAATTACCTGGAAAATAAGGCAATGAATCAGCCATGCAAGCAATCACCTACCTTAATTTGTCTGTGGTTCAATAGATATGCTCACATGCTGTCAGTGTGCTCTCATCAAGCCCCAATATAGTGTCATTATGTGCGTTCCCAATTCCCATGATTTAGATTTTAAGGTGCCAGGCCCTATACCAATACCCTTATGATATGGTTGAACTAGAATTGTTCATCTTCAAGCTAGATTATGGACCACCATTTTTTGTGTCTCCAACATCAGGAATTTGATATGAATTTAAACTTTCAGCTTCATTCCTTAGTAATGTTGATGAAGAGTGGTGGCACTGATAATGGACTCTTTGACAATCTCTTCCAGGCCCTGACATGTGTGTGCCATGTGTGCCACACATATGGCCCTCGACTACATGCATGCCTGAGCTGCATCTACTTTGGGTGTATGAAGCCCAAACACATCCACAAACATGCCAGCGAGAGAAACCACCCACTGGGTAAGCACTCCCTGGGGGCTCTCCTGACTAGTGACTACTGATCTGTTTTAAGCTTCTTTGGACAATATTTCTCAGAAACTGTAAAATGAAAACTTGTTAGAATCGACATTTCTGTTGGTAGAGCTTTTTTTAAGTACTTATAGTTTTAGTTATGATCTCCCTTTTGCTGCTGTTGACAAACATTGCACTGCTAGAGTTATGTGTGTTGTCCATGCTTTTCTGTAATGCTTTAATGATGTGAGGGAATACAACAATATCCATCTCATGAGCATGCCTCCTGCTCTCATTTATGGGTAGATCAGCAGAAACTGATAAACTATTGGGTGAGCATCTACTGACTGCCCACCTTTTCCAACAGCCCTGGATTTGACTCACGGCTATGTGTACTGCTTTGAGTGCGGCGACTACACCTACAACTGGACACTGAGGAAGATCTGCCGCAGGAACAAGGTGCTGGCGGCAAAGTCACTGGGTAAGTTGTTGGAACACAGAAATTCATCGGTACATTCACGTTTTTATTTTCAATTTCACTGACGACGAGTTTGCAGTTTTTTTTGGGGGGGGGGAGGTGGCAATCGATGCTGCGCACTGCGCAGCTTATCTTTTTGGATTGGTATTGAGTTTGGAACTCATCGATGCTGTCCTGACTGATGTGAATCCTAAGGTAGATCCCTGAATTCTTGTAGTCGTCGTAAACGGCTTATTTCTCGTTTTACGACTCGGCAAGCAGCTAACTTGTTGGCGATGGACGGTAAACTACGCGGATGTGGTTATCTTATCTGAAATGAAACTATGATTTGATGCATGCTCCCAATTTCATTCTTTCGATATATTACCTTTGTATGTTTGTTGTTAATATGTCGCTGAGCTCTTACCTACTTTGACGATTTTTAAGTCTCCAAACAAACAGCTTTTATCGATATTGAACACGTCAACCGTGACGTTGTCTTGACACTCGTGTTTGATTTCATCCCTGGCCTAGCTGAAACATTTTAATGTGAAGTTTAGAGAAGGGAATCAGCCAGCAGTATCGTTCGCCATGTCTGGTTATTTGCGGAAATATCTGGGTCGGACCAGTGTCATGTTTGACCTTCAGTGTCACGCTCTGAGCATCCTCCGCACGATATTGACGAACTGCGTCGCTGTCTGCTACTGATCGAATATCCCGGGATATCTGGGCGTGTTATGTCTGTGGGATAAAGGTCCATCTTACACGATTCCTTACACGAAATCATGCAATGCTATGGTTGATGCAATGCTATGTGCTGGATGGGTCGGGATGCATCAAATCAAGTGTTTGGTGACTCACTGTTTACTTGCTAATATGTTCGGTACTTTCGTGATGTTCTCAATAACCGGGTGAGTCGGATGACATCTCTAGGTCCTAGGGCAGAAAGAGCACTAATTCTAATGCTAAAAAATATCAAAAGGGTATGTCTCTGTGACTGTCGTGATATTTTGAATCCCCCTTGGTGACTGCGTCGTACGCATTTCGCCCCTCCCCTCCCCCCCCCCCCGGATCGACCCCGCCCCGCCGACGAGAGCGTCATCTGTTGAGGGATGACGGCCACCGGCAATCGATGATGACGAATGCGGCGCGTCGGATGACGCCCTGCGCCGCCGCCGCCGCCGCTGCGGATCGGTCGATCAGCTGGGCGGCTGCCGCCATCAGCTGATTACCCAGAATGCAGCGGCGGGCAGTCAGCTGACGCGGCGCGGCGCGTGGCGGCGGCTGCGGCGGTTTTTCGCTGGATTGCCGGTAGTTACGGCCGCGTGGGGGAGGGGAGGGGAGGAGGGGGAGAGGGGGAGGGGACTGGTGGTCAAGGCCCTGGAACCAGAGAGCCACGTGGCCGAACGGCCAGAGATAGTTATGGCTGAGAGAGCGCCGTTGCGCAAAAGGGCGGGGGAAGCGAAGCATACACGGGTGAAATTGTAGACGAGGCAAGGAATGGTAGACAGGAAATACAATTTAGTGACTCGTGTTCACTCGTATGCTTATTCATTCACTCATGCCTGTTATTCATTGTATAGGGAGTAGGCACTGTCCGCATTCTTTTAGTTCGTATTATTTAGTTATAGGTAACCGTGTCCTGTACTTTTTTGTAGTGATATGAGTCATTCTTAACACACACACAAAAGCTTGTTTGTATGTTAGCTTCATAAATATATAATGGTCGTCTGGCGATGCTCATGGGTGTCGCGGCTGCGTCCTTGTTTAACAAAGTGCGCTGTGTTCTTGTGAACGCTCCTCTCGTGAATTGTCAGCATAATCGTACCAGTGATTCCTAACTAAGCGAGCTGCTGCGTTTATTTTGAACTTCGTTTCTGCGCATCAATTTGCTGACTGACGATCAGCCCAAACTTCAGCTGTGGGTCGATGTCGCAGGAATTCCCCGCTGTTTCCCAGAATAGACGGAAATATTGGCGCGAATGGCGCGGAATTCCGCCATGTGCGGAATACCAATGAGGCCGAATTCTGAGAATGAGCGCGGGTTCCGTGAGAAGCGGGCGCGCGTTTGGATAATTCTGAAAATATCTGACGTGGAAACAACGTGACGCGGGTATATGCGGGTCATTGCTTTGTTCCCATGCGGACTGTGTGAGTCGCATGCGAGTTGGTGGTATTTTCGGGCGTAACTCTTGCGCATTTGTTGTTATGTTCATCCAGACTGCGGGTGATTTGCGGTTACGCAATGCAGGTAATGATGAATCTCGAAATATACCGCCCGATGTTGTGTGAAATTTAAATGATGTGTTCGTGCAGCTGTCTCTAATCTTGAGGTATTTTCTTGTCGTTTTTGCATAATTTAGCAGCATACTGTCAAGGTCTCTGACCCCGGTGTGTTGTTTTGCGCCCGTTTGTCGTATGAATCCGAGATCTCTTACGTAACGTTTTGCTGTCGCGTGTGGCAGAGATTCCGGCCGACTGAAGCTGTCTTTGATTATTCATGTTTTGTTGTGTGTCCGTTACCGCAGACATCCCATCCGACGCCTGTCTGATTCTGAAGTTTTGTTTTGTGCCAGATTGTTGCATGATACAAGCTTTGATTTAACCCGCGCCACCAGGTCACCAGGTCACTTGAAGTGACCTCACCTCATAAAAAGTTTCAATGTCTGCCATAGCTACACCGAGTGACTGATCGCTTTGAAACTTTAAGCGATTGCTAAGAGCAATAGCATGTACAAAATGTATATCTCAGAATTTTGATATCGATGACCTAAGGTCAGGTCAATTTTGCGACCTCCCCATTATAAGTCAACGGGAGAAAATTGAAATGCGCTTCTTTTGGACAAAAGACATTATAAACACTCCCAAACACTGAATTACAAGTGGTTTAGACTTACTGAACATGAAAATGGTGTCTGTGACCCCTGGCTATGCCCTGAGGTCATCTTAGGTCACGAATGGTATCTAACAGTTTTTCGCAAATAACTTTTGATAGAGGCATGCTAGATCGATGAAAACGCCTTAGATGTGTTCAGCTTGACGATACGGATCGACTGATATGCAACATGACCCTTTCCGGTCAGGTCATGACCTTGACCTGAGGTCAAATTTTCAAGTTGACCTTTCAAGGTCAAGTTATAGTTCATTCGATGCGTCTTGACGAGAGGAGCACGATGCCGGTAAAAGTAAGCTCGTACAAGGCTTAGGTCAAAAGTTATTGCAGAAAAACTGTTTTCGAAAAAATCGGCTATTTTTGCAGTTTTTGCCCCCTGCAGGCAAAACCGTTGACGTTAGGTCAAATCAGAGAGAAATACTCAGAAAGGGCGTTAATAGGGCTATCGAATGCGCTTTTCCGCGGCGCTGTAGCTCTATTGGTTCCCGAGTTGTGCGTTGGCTTCTTGGAAATTGTCAACATTCGACCTGGAAATCGGCGAAATTTTGCCTTCAATGACCTCTGGTGACCTGACCTTTGACCTGACCAAAAAATTCACCGAAGTGATTTCGTCATTATTTTTGGCGCTCTTTCGAACGCCGCCTTCCGCGTATCGCTACGTGGCCCAGGAGCCGAGTTAGAAGGGGGGGGTGTTCAGACACCCCCCCCCCAGCAGGGCGTGGAAATCCAGGACCCCCAGCCGGGCGCGGGTTAACACGCGCAGTGGAAGGGGGGGGGGCGGATTTCGCCCACCCCCCCCCTGTTTTTCGCCAATAACTCGCGCCGCAAGCATAATATCAATGTGAAATTTCGGCTATCTGTCCAGAATTGAATTGCGGATCTTCTCATGCAAGAAGTAAGAAAATCGGTTCACAACTTTTCTAGTAATAGCGGTGTAAAGTCAAACATCCTGCCGCCGCGGCAGCGCGGCGGCGCGGCGGCCGGCGCTAGCCGTTACGCGCCGCCTGAATTGTAGACTGTGCCGGGGCGGGACGGTTCCGTCTTTACATCGCGCTCCTTACCGCTGATTACATTAGATTCGCGTCAAATTCGGTGAGAAGACTGAGAAATGTACAGGCAATCATATGGTCAAAGAATTTTGGAAATCGGCCAGTAACAACTTGAGTTATGAGTGTGTAAACACAAAATTGTGATTGCCGCGTTTCCCGCGTCGGCCGATCCCGCTTCAGCCGGCGACATCTTACCCTTAGCAGGCTTCTAACTGCCATATTTATTGTTGGATTATCTAGAAATTCACCATACATACTCACAAATGTTTGTTCTTTCGTATAGTGAAAGATTAAAGAAAATCGGCCGGTAACTTTTTGAGTTATCGGCATGTAAACGCAAAAAAGTCGCTAATATGGCAGATTTGACCACATTTGACCTCATTTGACCTTGAAGATATTGACCTAGGGTCATGAAATTCACACACAACAGAATTCCCCATGGCCCCCACCTACCCTCCAAATTTCGTCTTTCTAGCTCCAGTGGGAGCTGAGATCTTAGGGGGGGGGGCGACATCCGCCCCCCCCCCCCTTCCACTGGGCGTAGTACTCGCAACCCTTCCACTGCGCGTGTTAACGTTTTATGTCCGTTTACCACAAAGATTCCTGATGACTACTGTCTGATCCCGACGTTTATGTTTTGTGTCTGCTTTCCACATGAATCCTAGCTCCCTAATTTGACGTTTTATTGTCCGTTTACCGCAGGAATTCCGGCTCTATTTTGACGTTTTCTGTCCGTTGTTGCAGGTATTCCTGCCAACAATGCCTCTGAGTGTCCAGGTAGCTGTCTGATGCTGACGTTTAGTTTTGTGTTCGTTTGCCGCAGGCATTCCTGCCGACAACTCGTGGGAGCCGTGCCCTGAGGAGATCGAGCTGCTCAAGTACCACACCGACCGGCGCAAGGTCACGTCCAACTCCACAATTGGTTAGTGGGACGGACAGAGGTTGTTGGTTGTGGGCTCGAACGGGGCCCGGGCTCTGTGACTGACTTTAGGGGGGGGGGGCTACCCACACTTGGGAAACTGAGACTCTGAGAATTAGGCTGAAACGGTGGAAACTGGGAGCTGGAGAAGAGGACAGATAATCGGAATATAATGCTGGGAAATCGGACTGAAATCGATCGGATGACCATGCTGGATGCTTAGGAAATGGGGATTGGGAACGCAGCGCTGAGCTACCCTCCGTTGTATGGATCTCTTACGCGTCTTGTATTGGAGAGACTTACGCCTTGTATGTGACTGTTGACTTACGAAATGTGGGTCGTATCTGAATGGCGTAGCGGCAAAGTTCTGCCGTTTGGAGTTTCCGCCAACTACAGCAGTACTGTTTACTGACATTGATCCCGTACCATCCCCGGGCTGGATGGTCGAGCTGACCTTCAGTGTCCCCGATCTGACAGCAAGACAGCGCTGAATGCTTAAACCGTCAGATTGGAGCGTTTGCGACTCTCGATTTGATGATAAAGGTTATAGGTCGATGGTTTTTGGTTGTTTTTCCGATCGGTGTTTCTAATCGTAATCCGTGATCCGGATACCGAATCCTTGTGCTCCGCGAACCGGAATTCACTGATCCGTGTTTGCCAAACTCCCGTTACAGATGCTCAGAATGTGAACATCAATAACAAATATCTACTTTTCGGCGATTTATTCAGGCAAATATTGCACTTTCTACATATTTTGCTACACATTCGTGTTATGGTACTTGCTACATTTTCTGCAACATGTTACCGTTTTATCACATTTATTATTCATTTAAACCTTGTGCCAATATGCTGTGCGGCACCCTACAACAAAGCGATGGCCTTTTCTCTAACACGTCTCCCACCCCTCCTCTCTCGACAGGTCTGCGCGGGATGATCAACCTGGGCAACACCTGTTTCATGTCGACAATCCTTCAGGCCCTCACACACACGCCCATGCTGCGGGACTATTTCCTGGGCGACAAGCATCTCTGCCTGGCGCCCGATCCGGACCGCTGCCTGGCCTGCCAGATCAACAGTCTGTTCCAGCAGGTAGGTTGCGGGTGGTGGTCCATTTGGGGAGTTGGATGCTTCGGGACGTGAAGTATACGAAATGTGTCTCAAGTAGGGCTGGATATGCTTCTTGATACTGAAAACCTAGCGCCTTTGGACGTTGACTGCTATTTTGTTTTCGAAACTCGACGTATTTGACCGCAGTGCTTGCTCCATTTTTTTTTATACATCCTGTCTTTAAACGCTGTTTTGCACGTATCACGACTATAATCTTGCTTTAGGTCTTCCTTGTTCACGCTCGTAGCATTCGTTCGAACCTTTATCTCTTCTTTGATTACTGTCCCCGCATCGTAGGTCATCATGGCAGCGAAGTTTAAAAGCGCTGATAACCTCAGCTGCGTAGTTCGTCCGCCCAGAAAACCCAAACATCATTACCTACGACCCAAGATCACAGTCGGTAAAACACCTCACCGACAGTCTGTCTCAGCCTCTCTGACACATACCCCCCCCCCCCCCCGCCCCTCCGTCTATCAGCTGTACGGAGGCCAGCGGACAGCCCTGGCGCCCACCCGGCTCCTACACATGATCTGGACCAGTGCCAAACATCTGGCCGGATACGAACAACAGGTGAGCCGTGGTGATGTCATCGGTGACGTCATAGGGAGAGTGGTGATGTCATAGATATTGAGATTGAATCGAGCACGGGTCATGTTGATACCAGAAATAAGCAAATGTGAGCAGGCGAATGATGGATGCATTGATTGATTGTTTTGGATAGTTTCGTTATTGGATTGTTTCATTCATTCGTTCATTTTGCTCCCAATTCATTCATCCACTCATTCATTCATTTTTCGTTTAACCCATTCATTCATGGATCCATTCATCGATTCATTCATTCATTCGTGTTCCTCCACCATTTGTGTTGTGTGCTTCATTGACTTATCTCACCGATCGAACGGCTAGTGACGCACGTTTTCTATTCATACCAACCTGGCTCCCACACAACATCCAGAACAGTTGATTTTGCCTACCATTATCATCATTCAACCCTGCCATTCAGCCCGCGGTCTTGATCGCTTTTCGTGACGTTCTGATGTAACTGACGTATGACATCATTCTGACGCTGGGCTGATATGCATGATATTTTATGTGTTGACATGGTGACTTTCTGACGTATTTTACACCAACTTTCTTATATGTTGACGCCCTTCTGTGTCTGCATCATGCATTGCTAACTTTGGACATGCCTAAATTATGCTCTGAAAATCATAATATAGATATGCAGACTGTTATACTAACGTGCTCAGTGCTCGCGGCCTTGCGTGATGGTATGCTAATATTTTGCTGCCCCATCGCCGCCAGGACGCCCACGAGTTCTTCATGGCGATCCTGGACCTGCTGCACCAGCAGATGAAGCCCTTCCAGCGGGACCGCACGCCTCAGGAGGGTGGGGGAGGGGGCGGCGGCGGCTCGGCCGGCTGCCGCTGTATCATCGACACCATCTTCACGGGTGGACTGCAGAGTGACGTCGTCTGTCTGAGCTGCAAGTGGGTGCTAATTGACTGTTGCGTGGTGAAAGCCGTTGATGACGTAACGTGTTTTCATGTTATACCGTAATGTTATAACGTAATGTTACGGCCCTGCCTTGTCATGAAGTGATTTGATTATTTCGTACTTGTGGTAAGAGGTGTTGAGCGATATTCTACATACTCGAGTAGAAAATCGCTCAACGTTCAACGTTCTTTCCTTGTGTTCGGTAATTGGTATGCTCTCCCGAAGTCATGCCATTATTCTTCTATAAGATTTTTTCGTCCATGAGCTATCATTTTTTTCCTGCCACTTCCTCATTTCAGTGTCGTAACAGCATGTCAGGTGTCATCTCAACAGGACTTTGTGATGTGTTTTCTCTTTTCCCTTCTTCTAACGTGTCATGTCCCACCTCTAAAAATCGTCGTTTCCCCCTCTCCACCAATGAGGTATCTTTTCTCTCTCCCCAGTAACGTGTCGACGACGATCGACCCGTTCTGGGACATATCGCTGGACCTGGCGCCGCTGGAGCTGAACCAGTCGACACCGACCACGCTGGAGGACTGTCTGGAGCAGTTCACACGACAGGAGCACCTCGGTAAGAGAGACGCTGACGCTGCTGCGCCTTTCCCGTGGGAGTATGGTCGTGCCAGTTCTGCCGTGCAAAGGCAAAAACGATTACGTCGGGTCTGAGGTCATTACGTCAGGGCAGGGGTCACCCGAACATATTGTGTTTGGCTCTACACGTCAGAGTTATTTCATGGCGCCCCAAGAGTAGCCGGCACCGGCAACACCCGAGCCGGTGAAGGAACCCCCAGGGGCGCCGCCTGGCAAGAGGAGTGAAACAGTCATGCGACCTGGAGAAGTCTCCGATCTGTTCGCCTCTGCTGATGAATTCTCCGAGCTACTGGAGGAGGGAGCGGAGGCCAGCGAGGCGGCGGAGACGGCCGGCAAAACCAACCGTCACCAGCTGCAGTGGAAGGAGAGCGGCTCTGGAAAAAGGCGCCGCCAGGGCTCGGGGAAGCTCGACCGGAGAGGAAAATACGATGCCAAGAGGGCGGGTGGCGCGCGAGGACGTCGCCTGAAGTAGATTCGGGATGCAGTGGGAGGGGAAGGGGTGCCGCATACGCTGTCGTGCCGCCTTGTTCATGGTTAGATAGATTATACCGTGATTATTTTACTGGTACGTAAGAAAGCTTCTTCAAAAATAAAAAAGAGTAGCCCCTCCCTAGCTTCTCTTATTGGACCCGTTTTTTTTTTCACTTTTTCACCTGGCAAAAAGAGAACTTAAAAGGGTTTTGTTTTTCGATATTGGTGCTGGCTTCTCGCTATTCGGAACATCCCATATTATTCAATAGCAGCTTTGCCTTTCTGCTCAAACTGAATCAAAAGGACATGCAAGGGTGCTTCTAGACAGATGAAAATCACTCCGTGTTTTGTGATCCGCTGTCTAGCTGTTTGACATTGCTGTCACTGCTAACCAGATAAGTAGATTACAGTTTGGGATGGCTCTTATCTTCACGGTACTTTACCGAAAGATCTGAACGTTACATGTCAATAACTGGCTATTGGAGTTGTGCTTGAGTGGTGTTTGCGACACACGTCAGGTATATTTTGCACGCCGCCATGTTTCACGATTCGATTAGGCAAGACTCTCATCCTCATCCAGCAATGATTGCAGATTTCCAATGGAGCTTATTAATTGAAACATTATTGCCTTAGCACTTGCAGTTGATAATAACCATGCAATGCCATTGGCATTATCAGCATAAAACAGCCAATGATGCTGCTTTTTGATAAACTGTTTATGGGCTGTTTTATACTGATGAACAGTTAAGTAAAAAGTGGCATTGACCTTTACTCGTTATCAATAAAGGTACTCTTGTCGCCGATCCCGTATATCACCTGACGTCACGGTGTGTTTTTTCCGTCTGTTTCAGGGAGCAGCGCAAAGATCAAGTGCGTCAGCTGTGACTCGTACCAAGAATCGACCAAACAGCTGACCATGAAGGAACTGCCCATCGTCGCCAGCTTCCATCTGAAGGTGAGTTGAAGCGATATTATTTCATACGCTTTTCATTTCCTTGTTTGCTTGCGCGTGGGTCCCAATGACATTAGGAAACCATGAGACCACTTTCTTCAAAACTTACGACTTAGGTTTGAACATCGGACAATCAATGCAAAGCGACCACAAGCAATAATTTACCCCAGATGCATTTACAAAGTAATGCATATTACAAGATCTGTGAACGATGCTAAACACAAAATTCGTTTGTAATTCGCATTTCTAGTTCTTATATCAGCAGCTGGCTGCTGGATAGCTGATCTCTTTCCGGGCGCAGTACCGTTAGTGGCTTACTCGTAGAGCAATGTTTGCTCGATCGGCCCACGATGGAATGTCGATTACGGGATGCAAACAGTCGTTGATACGCTATCGGCTACTCCACATTTCGCGACCATGTGGCTGGGTACCCCTGCTCCCGCTTTGATTTTCATCTCCTTTCCGTTCGGACATGAAGCTTTTTCTGAATAGGTTTCTCTATTTTGTCTCCTTTCTCCTTCAGCCCGTACTTCTCTGACCTCAGCTGCTCCTCCACTCTGGCTTCACCTCTACCCTCTGACCGATTTCTGCCATCATCTTACCTCTTACTGTCATCTGACCCCCTACGACCCTCCATACCCATCACCTCTGACACTTGACCCATATGATTTTCTCTGACGATACCCTTCTAACCTCTCTAACAGTTCCAACCCGGGTGTCTCTCATACATCTTCTAAGTGACCTAACCGGAACCCTTACCCCTCTCACAGCGGTTCGAGCACACGAGTCGGCTGCGGAAGAAGATTTCGACAGTGGTGCGGTTTCCGGAGGAGCTGGACATGACGCCCTACCTCTCCCGCTGTCGGAACAACAACAACTTCCGCCAGGAGCGCGTCTTCAACAACAACCTGTGAGTGAATGCGTGGGTAGGGGACGGGAAGGGGAGAGGGCTGGCCGAGAGCGGGAGGTAAGGATGAGCCTCTCGCTAGGGTTTGGCAACGGTTTGTTGTAGGTAGGGGGGACTTTGTGGAAAGGCTTCGACTTTGAGAAAACCATGTGGTCGCTGTTGATACGTTACCGATCATGCTCAGTTACAAAGTTCTCAGCTATGCTATGGGGTGATGACGATTGACAATCATGCGTGCGCTGAGAACAACATCAATCGGTGTGATTAGGACTAGTTCACCACATTGACTCCATAGATGATCCCTTGTACATGATTCGTGACGACACCCGTACCCCTTCTCTTCAGGTACTCTCTGTACGCGGTGGTGAACCACATCGGCACGCTGGAGGCGGGCCACTACATCGTCTACATCCGGCAGCACCGTGACAACTGGTTCAAGTGTGACGACCACATCATCACACGGGCCACGCTGCGGGACGTGCTCAACAGCGAGGGGTGAGACGCGAGCGGGGAGATTTGACCTCTGAGCCTGAGAGAGCTGACCTATTGCTGAGAGTTGCTGAGCTGACCTATTTGACTGAGTCTCTAAAGCTGGCCTACTCAACCTCTGATCTATTAACTCTGACTTCTGAGTCACGAGTTGACCTCTGAAATGATCTTTCATCTCTGAGCTGGTTTCTGACCTCTGAGCTGATTTTTTATATGACTTGACTTTCAGTGTTACCTTCACGATATTCAATGGCAGGATTAGGTTTGATAAAAGGGTGGAAGGAATTATCGATGCCTCCATGGTGGCTTGGTGAAAATATGTGATCTATTTTAGCGTCCATCATCCCTTACCTTTCGGATTTCGAGTTTGCCAACTTTCCCAAACAATTATGCTGGTCTTTTTCATCATTGTTTCTCTATTGATAATTTTGTTTGCATCCAACCTGCGGGCTATTTTTATCCCCGCAGTTGTTGTGTACATACATACTGTGTACATACTGCACGTTGTACCTGTGTTTAACTCTACTATCGTGTCTGTTTTCAGGTACCTGCTGTTCTATCACAAGCACCGCCTGGAGTATAGCTACGAATGAGCAGACGCACCCCCTCCCCCTCCCCTACAGACCCCTTACCCCCATCCCGGCCGTCTTTCGCGAATGGACGGCGTAGCGACTCGAACTTTGTATATCAACTGTTCACTGTGGAGGCCAATCAAAAATCGTGTCTATCTAATTGTACTCTGCGCATGTTGTGATTTCTACTTTATGTGATACGCTCGCTGGCGAGCTGAGCTTTGGAGAAGTATGTGACGAGGTAGGTTATGTAAAATTCGCCGTTTCATGTGTGTGTAGGATGTGGACAATCTGGGTTAACAGCTGTGACCGCGCTGTGCTAGAGCGGCTCGGAAAATATAGGGTTTGGTGTACGGCTTACGGCTCGGTGTGAGTTTACCACATGTCTCAGGTCGTCCGCGGTGGCGCTGGATCCGGCTGCCTCCCGCCGCGGAGTGATGGGGATTTAGTTGTTCTCGGTCCGCGCCGGGTTTTCGGTCTTCTTCGGTGGGCTGTTTGAGTGTTTCTGCGGACAATAGCCACTCAAGACCACATTTCTTCCGCCGTCGATGTAGCCTGTGCGCGGGAACGGACGAAGACGATCGTGAGCTGGTGGCGTGACTGGGAAACTGTGATTCCCTCAGCGGCTGATAGATGTCTCTGGGGTACGTGTCGGAAGGGATCTTCGGTGGCTGTAGTCTTTTCGCCGCGTAGTTTCGGCACCTCGGCCCTGGCGGCTGCAGTGGCGCCGCTCCGCGGCCGGAACCGCAAGCTGTGATGTGCAGCGTCGCCGGTAGGTGGCAGCGCCGCTCGCTCACTCGGCCGTTGACACGGTCTTTCAGTGTTACTCATGAACGTAGGTGTATGCGCGCGCGCGTGTATGTGTGCGAGTGGTGGCGACTTGTCTCAGTGACGTCATGTGACATCACACACGTATCTCGCCCGTCCACAGTTCGCCAGTCTGGACCATGCTAGAGCAACTCTGACCTCATATCGCGCTGACGTCACTCCATGTCACGTGACTCCGCCGTGTCAGTCGTGTCGGGTCACTCGGTAATTTGATCGGTACATACTTGCCCACCTCCTGGGTCGCCGGCCGGCCCCCTGACCCCTCGAAAGGGTCCAGAGTCCGGCAGGAACAGTTCCTACTTGGTTGTGCATGCGTTTTTGTTGCGTCAGGGGTCGCTCCGGCCCTCGGGGATTATCTCCAGACCAGTCGACGCCCCGCCCGTGAGAACCTTTGGTACATTGCAGCGCGAAATACATACACGGAGGGATGCGAACGACTTGGTTTGAGTTTTTAATGAGTTTGGTGTCGATAACGACAGTAGGCTGTTGATGGGTGACGCAGTCTTCAGCCCAGCGAAGTTCGATAGGACTAACGTGTCTTCGGAATTTGTCAGAGAGTAACGGGAAGCTCACACCTAACGTCTGCACTGAGAGCAGAGATAAAAGCCTACAATTATCGCGCTGCGAAAGGTCTGGCCAGCGGCGACGCAATTCATTCATGGCTCCCGGATTCGGGCAATGGGGTAAGAATTTAGAAGGGACCAGACAAAAAAGTATTCGATTGCGTTTTCTGCGCTTTTTTAAATTCTAGCACAATTGGCTTACGAAATGCGGTCTCATTTGTCAGAAATTGTTAACAAGATGGACAATCATCTGAAATAGAGCATTGCCGAAGGCCAAATGTGAGCTTGATTTTTAATTTCCGAGTCCTGATTTTTATTACCACTCTGCACTAATGTAAAGATGGAGCACATGTGTCCTGTGCTGTCTTCGCCCCCCCCCCCCCCGATTTCATTCCTTTACAGTTTACTCCTCCGAATTCCGTGCCTAGCGCCGCCTCTGTCAGCCACTGCCGCCCGCCCCAGTCGCCGTGCCTGGCGCCGCCCCTGCCGCCCCGACCTGCCCCCGGGCGGTGGCCGGTCGGCCGGAGCGAGGCTGGCCGCCGCGCCCGCGAGACTTTGCCATCAGCGCTCGGTGTGTGCGGCTACTTTGAGAGTGGTGACGAATTTGAGTTGAAATTGTGCGAATATTTTTAAAGGTGAGCGAGCCGACATTTTTATCGATTAATCGACAGAATTGTGTACCGTGTGAGATGTGTTTGGAGTTTAATAGCGTTTCGTGAGCTCTACAAACTGCAATAACTACGCACCATTACATAAACGAATGATTATATTGATATAGGCATTGCTCGAACCGTTACGATGCTTTAACTGCAACCTAATTAATCTATGATAAATAAGTACCCCTGATAGTACTCTTTCTGTAATAATACCGGATAGTTTTTTCTGGATCATATTGCAATCAGTTTATTAGTCAATCAATTGCTGGCTCCATCATTCGAGCATTTTTTCAACTCCGGTGTCTTACGGTAGAGCGGCTACTCTTATGTTGGGTATTGGAGTGAATTCATAACGTGTCATTTCTCCAGACCACAGCTCTGAGGTCAACTGCGGCAGTACGTGCGCCACCGTCGTACCGAGATTAGAATCTGCCGGTCAAAACTGAACTGCGGCTATGGAAACTCAAGCTCTCGCAGAGGTATGACATACGTCTACAATTATGTGGTTAAATGTATTGACGTGAACACTTCATGTCATATGGGCGCCGTATGACCATTTCGGTTGAAGGGCCCTAAAGCCCCAGTTTACTAACTGAACACGCCTTAGGTACATTAACCTTCCAGGCGGTGGGAGGGGGGCATTTTTTTGCCCCCCTTTAGTTTTTTCGATATATCTCGAGAACCGCTGCGCCGATCGTCACCAAACTTTCGGTACCCTCCCGAGAGCAGCTAGCGCACATGGTGACCAAAAATTTTTCCAAAGGCTATGATAGGTTGGCCGCTAATGACGTCAGAGTGACGTCATTTTTGCCATTTTCGACCCAAAAAAAGGTTTTGCGGGAAGAGCTGTCAGGCCTACAGCTTTAGAGATATAGAAAAATGTTTCAGACGTAAAAGGTGTAGAATCAAAAGGGCTACAAAACTGCTATTTCGGTTTTTCGAGTTTTTTGGATTTTGACCCCCAAAAATCAAAAAATATATTTTTTGAATATAATAGCCAAAAAATCCAAAAAGTTTTTTGAATTTCGAAAAAACCGGGATATATGTGATAGCCCCTACCACCTTCTACCTACATACCAAATTTGAGATCGATACCTCTTTTTTTGGCCAAGTTATAGCGAAAAAACTGTTCAAAATTGATGACGTCAAATTTTCAAACTCAATTTTTAGCAATTCTAGACCTCGTAGCGCAAAACAAAGACCACCATTAGACTCCCCGTGACGAGCTGCATCGAATCGATACCCATTTTATGCAAAAATATCAACTTTGAAATTTGACCTTTTTTGACCTGACCTTGACCTGACCTCCACCAGAAAGTGACCTAAACCGTACCTGATGGTCTTATAACCAACACCATTGAGTTGGAAATGAAAAACTGGCCATAAAACATGCATCGCATAACCTTAGCAAAGTTGGGCTCATGTGGTGACCCTTGGTGACCTTTGGTGACCTGACCTGTGACCTGACCTTGTATGACCAGTGACCTCTAATAGCAACATATATACTAGACAACTGACGCCTTATCGCTGATTTTCGACAAAATGCGTTTTACTCGGTGTTATAGCGCTTTCCCTAGAAGCCCCGTGAACGGTGAAACATTTTATCTTTGACCTGACCTGTGACGTCATCGGTGACCCCGAGGTCAATGAAATTTGGTTTCCTTCGACAAATTTGACAGGGCTATCGAACGCCGTTTGAATTTTCCGGATCCGTCCAGTAGTTTCGGAGATACGGGGGGGGGGGCAAAAAAGTGCCCCCCCCCCCCCACCGCGCGGAAGGTGGCTGGTAGGCCCACCGCCTGCTGGGTTAAAGTTTAATTCTGTGTTTTAATAAGAGGCTTTGCAGAATTTCCGATATTGACTCCCTGGTATTTTTATTTCATGTGCGCCGGCAGGAGTTCGCGGGTTGGGGACACTGCTCTAGCACAGCGACCAATGGACGTCATTTCGAGTGATCACGTGACCTACTTGACCCGGCGACTTGGGCGAATCGGTACGTAAACCGAGGCGACGTTGGATTTATCATAGAATTGCTGACTACTTTTGTTTTGTCCCACTATTTGTTGTAACTGTCAACTGACTGATGAGGTATCTTGTCGATATATATAAAGAAATGAATGATTTGTGACTTCCTCTGACCTATCGCCGGACAGGCTCTATACGGTGAAGTGCGTGATTATAACGTAAAAATGAAAATGTGCTTTAGTTAACAACCACATGGCTGACCCAAAATGTTTCTTAGTTTCGTTGGTAATAAAATAAGTAAAAAATGATAAAATTACAGGGTGACACAAAAAAAACGGTCATCACCAAAATTCGAATAACTTTTTACGGACGCTCCACAATGTGCTCCAGGTGAGCGCCCCGGCGCTGCAGGGCGTAGGCACACCTGCATCCGGCGGGCAAAGTTGTCGATAACCCGATAAGAATAACGTTTCAGGGGTAGCACACCCCCTGAGCACTGTCTCCAGAGGCCATTGCACTCTGTAAAGTGCACAGCCATCGGGTTATCGACAACTTTGCCCGCCGGATGCAAGTGTGCCTACGCCCTGCAGCGCCGTGGCGCTCACCTGGAGCACATTGTGGAGCGTCAGTGAAACACACACTGTACTAAAAGTATTCGTAGTGAAGACTTGAAACTTGGTGGATGTATGCTACATAGGTGTGACCTTAAGTGGCCGAAGTTTGGTGATGATCTGAATAAAACTTCCGAAGTTATTCGAAATTTGGTGATGACCGTTTTTTTGTGTCACCCTGTATTTATAACATAAATCATAGAAAATTAGATGCAAGCTTTCGATGGGTTCGTCTTTCGGCATCATTTTGATCCTGCCGTTCGTGATAGAGGTGCGTATGACACCATGGGTGCACCAATATGTTTAATATTTCTTCATTTATTGATAATTCGATAATTCTTTATTTCAGATCCATCACGAGAGAGATAGTGACGCTGCTTCAACACAACACCGGCATCAACCACAAGCCGGCTCTAAGACGGCGGTTTATCGGGTGAGTTGGTGCACCGAGAGAGCACGGTCTACTGTGACACTAAAACAGAACGGATTCACAGATTCGGCCCATATCTTTATCGTTGTAACTTACTTTGTAACTTTGAGTAGCTTTTTGTTGTGCATATAGGGCAGAGTAGCACAAAAGAGCACTTTCGTTCGCTTGCTATGTTCACACGCCAAGAAAGTAAAAACACCGAGAGCATATGCTCGCTAAGCATACCCAATAAATCGTTGCCACCGCTCCCAGCGGGTGACAAGGTTTCCTTCTGTCGTTTCAGTGTATGGCGACGCTCGAGACCAATGGTTTCTGGACTGTTCCGCCAGTCAGCAGACTCTGAACGGTAAGTGCGTGCTGAGCACTGGATTTGGACTGGTGGTGAACGGTTTGTTATCGTTGTCTGTTTGATTTTCGGTCAACCAAAGACTAAAAGTAAATAAATTGCTTTAGTAGGAGATATGTTAAATAATTTTTGCGGCTTATTCGACTTTTGAACTTCCAATTGTGTGATGAAAGCAACATAGAAATTTTTATCGCGGCCGTCTTTTTATATAGATGCTACAGTTACTCCCTGCTCCGACACTCGTGATTTTCCATTTCAAATGGAAAAATATAAAACACGGGTCATGTTTTATTTCCTCGCCGTTCCGCTGTCTATGTCACGGAAGTAAGCATATTCGTAAGTAATCACACATCAGCAGTCACCCTTTCAGCGTGTGTTGATGCCGTGCCATCTCCCCGACAGGTGCGGCAGTGCAGGAGGGAGTGTAGCGCCGGTATACAGCTACCACCAGACATCCATCCACCGGCCAGTCACCACTGATCTACCAGCAAGATAAGTGTTTCTTTTATCGTAGCTCAAATAGTTCTATGATGTGAAATCAATTGAAATGCAACGTGAGCTTTCGGTAGTTTTAATTTGGCTTTCGCCTTTCAGCCCATTTTTACTTTTCGTTCTTATTTAATTCTATATTGCTGTTCTTATTCCGTTTTTCTTCATTCATTAATTCCTTTGTATGTACTGACATTTCAGGCTTACATCGAACGAGAGATGTTGGCGCTGCTCCAAGACACCAACCACCGCCTCAAACTACACTAAAAAGATAAGTGGATTGATCCTTACTACTTTTATTTGAAATGAATGAAATGTGAGAGTGTCATGCAAACTGTGTGCCAAATCGCTGAGTAATTCCTTTGTGCTGG